CTCCTCCTCCACAATTACTCAATATGAATACTACTCTCCCTCTTCCCCTGATGACGGTTTGAAAGTGCTCGACCCCCCCGCGTACTGTTTTTTACACTCAGGTTTCCCCGGAGTTGGGTTTTCGCCTGCATTGTTTCAAAACGCTGCTCTCGCTGAGGCGCCGGCCTCATTTTCGGGCCCCGCTCGTTCCGAATCGTGCTCCCGCTGCAGCGCTGGCCTCATTTCCGTGCTTCCGCTCGTTCCGAATCGTGCTCCCGCTGCAGCGCTGGCCTCATTTCCGCGCTTCCGCTCGTTTCGACTCGTGCTCCCGCTGCAGCGCTGGCGTCATTTCCCGTGCCATGCCACGGCATGCAATGCAATGCTAGGTTGATACTACGCTTTGCGGTGCTCTTCTACGCCATGCCATGCCGTGCTCTACAATGCATCGCGTACCCTTTCGGGATCATTGCCCTGCTCGACATCCGACTGTGCGAGTAGAGAGGGGATCTACGCCATGGTAAGGGATGGGAGGGAGGGGTAGGATGTAAGATATGACGCGAGCGCACCTAGCTTGTCCCTCCCCCTCCTCCTCCTCCCCCTCCTCTCCTCCTCCTCCGCCTCCTCCTCCTCCTCCTCCTCTTCGTCCTCCCGTGTATGGGTGGAATCGTTGTGCCGGTGGCCTGTGTTGCAAGGGTGAACGTTTAAGACTATCCTCCTCTCTCCTCCTCCTCTCCTCCTCCTCCTCATCATCCTCATCATCATCATCACCACCACCACCACCACCACCACCACCACCACCACCACCAATCATCATCATCATCATCATCATCATCATCATCATCATCATCATCATCATCATCATCATCAGCATCAGCATCAGCATCAGCATCAGCATCAGCATCGGCATCATCATCATCAGCAGCAGCATCATCAGCAGCAGCATCATCAGCAGCATCATCACCAACAGCACCCGTATCATCATCACCATCAGCTTCATCTTCATCATCAGCAGTATCAGCATCATCATCATCATCAGCATCATCCTAATCATCATCACCACCATGACCATCATCAGCATCACCATCACCGTCATCAGTAGCATCATCAGCACCATCATCGCCATCATCAGTATCGTCAACATCCTCTTCATCAGCAGCAGCACCACTGCTACTATCATCATGGTCATCATCATCATCAGCATGATCATGATCATCATCATCAGCTTCAGCATCATCATCATCATCAACAACATGCTCATCATATCATAATCATCAACATCATCAACCTCATCATCATCGTCAGCATCACCGTCGTCATCGTCAGCATCGTCAACATCTCGTCTTCATGTTCCTCCTTCTCATCTCCCCCCTCCACTCAACCAACACAATAAGACGTATGCACAATCAAAAGCAATCAGAAATCCATACAAGCAACACCAATAAGAACTCCACACACTCACAAACAATCAGAAATCCATACGATCAAAAACAGTAAGAAGAAGACCACGTAGTGGGTCCACGACCCCTGTGAGGGATCTCAACCTGTGAGGGTTCCCACAGAACACAATCGATGGTTTTCGGGACGCCAGGCTGCCTGGGGACCCGGATGAAATCCGAAGTCCCGAAAACCATTGATGTTTTGTTTTTGGAACCCTCACAACGTTTATTGTTTGTCTTGGTGGTTGTTGTTTTTTTTGGGGGGGTCCCTCACAGGGGTCGTAGACTATTGGTTTTGATTGCAGGGTTTTATCACTATGTTTGCCTGCATGGATGTTGAAAAATCGTTGTTTGATTGCATGGATTTCTAGAAGTTGTTGATTGTATGAATTCTGATGCCCAAACATCCTGTGGTGATGGGTCCTCGTTTTGAAGAGACAGCGCCCCGCGTCTCACCTCCTCCCCCCTCCCATCCGCCTCGTCATCGTCATCATCGTCATCATCGACATCGTCATGATCCACATCAGCATGATCATCACCATCGCCATCGTCAGGCCCCATAGAGAGCTCCACCGAAGTCCCCAGCGGGAGCGTCCGCATGGCACCACCGCCCCATCTTGGCACACCCCTCACACGGTTCGTGGCCCCATGGGGAGCTCCACCGAAGGACCCAGCAGGAGCGTCCGCATGACACCGCCGCCCCATTTGGCACACCCTTCATACCTTTCGTGGTCCCATAGGGAGCTCCACCGAAGGCCCCAGTGGGGGCGTCCGCATGGCACCGTCGCCCCATGTCGGCACTCCCCTCACACGGTTCGTGGCCCTATATGGAGCTCTACCGAAGGGCCCAGCGGGAGCGTCTGCATGGCACCGCCTATTCATTTTGGCAAACCCCTCACACGGTTCGTGGCCCCATAGGGAGCTCCTCCGAAAGCCACGGCGGGAGCGTCCGCATGGCACCGCCGCCCCATTTCGGCGCACCCCTCACACGGTTCGTGGCCCCATAGGGAGCTCCACCGAAGGCCCCAGCGGGAGCGTCCGCATGGCACCGCCGCCCCATTTTGGCACACCCCTCACACGATTCGTGGCCCCATAGGGGGCTCCACCGAAGGCCCCAGCGGGAGCGTCCGCTTTGCACCGCCGCCCCATTTCGGCGCACCCCTCACACGTTTCTTTGCCCCATAGGGAGCTCCACAGAAGGCCACGGCGGGAGCGTCCGCATGGCACCGCCGCCCCATGTCGGCGCACCCCTCACACGGTTCGTGGCCCCATAGGGAGCTCCACCGAAGGCCCCAGCGGGAGCGTCCGCTTTGCACCGCCGCCCCATTTCGGCGCACCCCTCACACGTTTCTTTGCCCCATAGGGAGCTCCACCGAAGGCCCCAGCGGAAGCGTCCGCATGGCACCGCCGCCCCATCTGGCAAACCTTTCACACATTTCGTGGTTCCATAGGGAGCTCCACCGAAGGCCCGCCAAAGCGGGAGCGTCCGCATGGCACCGCCGCCCCATTTCGGCACACCCCTCACACCGTTCATGACCCCATGGGGAGCTCGACCGAAGGCCCCAGCGGGAGCGTCCGTATGGCACCGCCTCTTCATTTTGGCACACCCCTCACACGTTTCTTTGCCCCATAGGGAGCTCTGCCGAAGGCCCCAGCGGGAGCGTCCGCATGGCACAGCAATCCCATTTTGGCACACCCCTGACACGGTTCGTGGCCCCATAGGGAGCTCAGCCGAAGGCCCCAGCGGGAGCGTCCGCATGGCACCGCCGCCCCATTTTGGCACACCCCTCACACGATTCGTGGCCCCATAGGGAGCTCCACCGAAGGCCCCAGCGGGAGCGTCCGCTTTGCACCGCCGCCCCATTTCGGCGCACCCCTCATACGGTTCGTGGCCCCAGAGGGAGCTCCACCGAAGGCCCCAGCGGGAGTGTCCGCATGGCACGGGCCGCGCACGGGGCTCGGGCGAAACCAAAAAGACTCCCCGCTCGCCCGCGTCAGCTTTGCTCCCCTCATGCACGCCGCAGTCCTTTTTGCTTTGCTGCCCCCCCCTCCTTCGTCTCCTTTCCCTCGCGGTACTCGCAGCAGCATATGTCTGGGTCCCTCGTTCTTGATTGTATGGATTTCTGATTGTGTTTGATTGTATGGGTTTCTTACTTGTTATTATTCGTATGTGTTTATTATTGTGTTTGATTGCTGTGGTCTGCCTATTGTTTTGATTGTCAGAAGCTTGGGGGTGAATCCGACGTGAAACGGAGACCCCCCCTACAGGGAACTCGATTTCGGTTTCGGGTTCGTGTCGTGCGCGCCGTGCGTGCGTGCGGGCGAGGCGAAGCTGCGTGGGCGGACGAGAAGAAATCCTCCTGTGGCTGGGCCGCGGCCAGACCAAATGTAACTCCTCCGGCGGCCGGTGCCGCGCGGTGTCCCACCGGTGTCCCGCTGGTGTCCCGAAATCCTCCTGTGGATGGGCCGCGGCCGGACCAAATGTTTCTCCTCCGGCGGCCGGTGCCGCGCGGTGTCCCGCCGGTGTCCCGTGGTGTCCCGTTGAGTGAGATCGAAAGTGAGATCGATCGTGAGATCGATAGTGAGATCGATGTGGTGCCCCGAGGTGTCCCAAACAGTGAGATCGATAATGAGATCGATAATGAAATCGACAAGTGTCCCGTGGTGTCCCGTGGTGTCCCGTTGAGTGAGATCGATAAAGAGATCGATACTGAGATCGATGTGGTGCCCGTTGTGTCCCGTGGTGTCCCGTGGTGTCCTATAAAATGAGATCGACAATGAGATCGATACTGAGATCGACAGGTGTTCCGTGATGTCCCGTGGTGTCCCGTGGTTTCCCGTTGAGTGAGATCGATAGTGAGATCGATGGTCAGATCGATGTGGTGTCCCGTGGTGTCCTATGGTGTACCGTTGAATGAAATTGATAGTGAGATCGATAGTGAGACCGATAGTGAGATCGAGAGGTGTTCCGCGGTGTCCCATAGTGTCCCGTGGTGGCTCGTGGTGTCCCGTGATGTCCCGTTGAGTGAAATCGATAGTGAGATCGATAAGGAGATCGACAAGTGTCCCGTGGTGTCCCGTGGTGTTCCGTAAAGTGAGATCGATAGTGAGATCGATAATGAGATCGACAAGTGTCCCGTGGTGTCCCGTGGTGTTCCGTTGAGTGAGATCGATCGTGAAATCGATTGAGTCAGATGTTGGTTTCCCCCTCTCCCCCCTCCGCAACCTCCTTATCACCCGAAGGGTGGTCGTATAGGTATGGAACTATTACTGTTATTGATTTTGGACTATGTGGCGTGGGTCGGGTGCTTCTCAACATCCTCCTCCTCCTCGTCATCATCATCATCAGCGTCGTCGTCGTCATCATCATCCTGATCACCATCATCATCATCATCATCATCATCATCATCATCATCATCATCATCATCCTCATCCTCATCCTCATCCTCATCACCATCATCGTCACCAACATCGTCATGTTCCTCCTCATGTTCATTATCGACCCCATCTCATTTCTACTCCTCATGACCCTTCTCCTCCGCGCAATCATAACATCCTCCGTGCCACCCGTGCAGGTCGTGGTGTAGAGATGCGCCATTCACACCGCGAGTTCGTATCGCGACCACGTCGACGTTGGTTTCTGATACCGCGTGGCCCGATCAACCTTGAACAATTGCATCTCTCCGACGGCACGGATCGCTCGATGTCGGCCGATCCTGGGCCTTCCGGCGGCGTGCAGTCTTGAACTCCCACGCAGGGGACCGCCGCCGCGTCGACGCCGCGCGAGCCTGCCACACCGGGGTCGGAAGTTGGAAGCGATGGGAAATCATGCAACAACTACGCGCGTGATCAATTGAGCATCGTTTACCCTACCCCCATCCCCAGCGGCGTGGCCGGGGACCCACTGGCCCATTAACCCTTCTGGATTATAGGCCGTTCCCTTCGGGATTCGAAGGGTGTATCCCCAACTGGGGTGGTCATTTGGTGGGGGTCTCGAAGGCGATGGGGATGGGGGCCAGCTCAACGATACTGACCTATGGGAAAACGACAGGAGAGATACGAGCGTTTCCAGCCTTGAACCAGACTGACAAGGCAACGAATCGACTGACGACGCGGCAAGTGGATTCGCAGGTCGGGACAAATCCATCGTCCATGGTTTTGAAGTGCGCCGGCCGTGCGTGGGTGACCCATGCGACGCAAATTCCCCGAACTAGAGGGGGCCCCTCCAATGACAAGTCTGGACAACTAAGTTTGCCCCCGACGGCCACATCGTCCTAGTTGTCCTCTTCCCTTCACCGCCTCACGACCCCTAAAATTGCCCTGGGACAGCTCGCCCCAACTCTCCAATCCATCCCTGGCAAACCCCTGCCCCCCACATGAAATAATGAAATCCCCAAACATATGTCAACCGCTCGCCTCCACGCCGGCTTTCTCGCACTCCTGGCGAGCAGAGAGGCAGCGGCGTTCAGATTGAGCATGGCCGTTCGCAGCGTGGGGGGAAGCAAACGAGACGAGGTAACGAAACAAGGGGCTGAAAGCTGTTATTCCAGATCCTGTTCATGCTGCTGTTGTTGCTGCTGCTGCTGACGATGATCCAACCGACGAGGAAGACTCGCACGAGTGCAACATACGCGAGATGATGACAAACGGTTCACTGCTCCTCCCTGCCTGCCTTCTGCTCCCTGCCAGCGCTGGCCGCCGTCTCCGCCAGCGACCTGACCATTGAGACGCCGATCTCGGCCGGCCTGTGCCGCAGGCAGCGCGCTGGCTGTCCGCCGCCGCGCGCGGCCCGCTGAAGCGCCAGCCTTTCCAAGACTGCGAGGGCGTGCCGCCCCAAGCGGCCGAATGCCGCCAAGCCGAAGAGGGAGACTGTGATTCCTTCCTGGCCCTCGCCATACCTAATGAACTTGGCTTGCTCAGCGGCCCGATGCAGCGTGGGCGTCCTCTTGCGCTGCCCGACGTCTCTTCTCCTGTCTGAACGGGTTCGTGACGGAGACGTCCACCCAGTCCTCATAGAGCTCTGGTCCGTGCCTCAAAAAAGTGACGTCGAAGCGGGCCTCCACCGAATCTTCGGCGCCGGGCTCGCCCTGCAGCAGCGGCGGGCAAACCTCCTCCGTCTCGGCCTCGACGCCGCCCTGCTGCTGCTGCTGTTGTTGTTGCTTCTGCTTCTGCCTCTCCTCCTTTTCCTTCTCCTTCTCCTCCTCCTCCTCCTCCTCCTCCTCCTCCTCCTTATCATCAGCATCATCATCATCATCAACATCATCATCATCATCATCATCATCATCATCATCATCATCATCAGCAGCCGCATCATCATCATCATCGTCATCATCATCATCATCATCATCAGCATCATCAGCATCATCATCATCATCACCATCCTCATCATCATCATCATCATCACCATCATCACCATCATCGTCATCATCAGCATCATCATCATCATCAGACCCATCATCATCATCATCATCATCATCATCCTCATCACCATGGCACTCCTCGGTATTGTTTGTCTTGTCCCCGTCGTCCTTGTCCTCCTCATCCTCCACCTCCTCCCCTCTTCCTTTCCCCTCCTATTACCCTCCCAGCTCTGACTTTCAAGGTGTTTCCTCCTTTTGCTCCCATTGTCCTTGCGCCTTCCCTTCGTGACCCTGCAGTGTCCCAGGGCCAAATACAATCATGAACTCGGGATGCGATTCGACCGGTCTGCTCCATATTATGTGCACCGCGCCTGCGTTCACTGTTCTTACTGTCGCACCACTTCCTGCGGTGCTTGATGATGCGTGCTACCACGACGGTGCCATAACGCGTGATCACGACCACTGGTGTTTGCGCTCGCTCCAACGCATACAACAACGCATACAGTTCCGCACGTCCGACCGGGAGGTCAAATCGCGCAACAGGTCCTGTTCCGAACCACTACCCCTGGCCAAGGCGATCCCCTGCATGCCCTCGTCGACGTCCATCTGTTCTGGCGCGCATGTTGCCCAGGCCGCAGGCCCGCAATGCATAGACAAATATTTCCCCCACCTGCCACGAACAAGCAACCCTTTTTTTCCTAGCAGTGTCGAATCGTTGTCCATGATTTCGGCTTCGCCATTTATGCATCCCCCGCGGTTGCCCTGGATTTGATGTTCAGGGTCCTTGTTCGGATGCACCACGAAGCCCCTAATGAGTAACGTGCTGTTGCTGCAGCCGCTTATGATGTGCACTGTGTCCACATTCTTCTCCGCCGCCACCATGCGCTGTTCTCCCCATTCGCTGAAGATGCCGCCTATGGTTCCTTGTGTGCCCGCATTCTTGCCGCAGGTTTGGCGCCGCATCTCGTCGGACTGCCCATGCTGGTACAGCGCTGCCTGCGCGCGGAATGTTTGCCCAACATGTGCCTAGATAACACCTGTGGCCTTTGCCGCCATCGTCCTGCGCAGCAGCGCACGCGCAGTTCTCAGGAACGGCGCACCGATGAAAAGCGTGCCTTTCTCATTCGCCCAATCAGCAAGGACCTGTCGTTCCTGTGCCCACTTCAAATTGAACCTCAACGTCTTGGGGGCCTCAGCTCCCGCGTTGAACACGTGGCCCTGCGGGTCATCTACGCCCCAATCAGAAGGACATGTTTGCCCCATGTTTCGTAGTGTCACGAAGACCGCCTCCGCAGGTCCCTGGATGGCGCCCCAACGCCATGCGCCCCCAAGCGCGCCTCTTGCTGATGCCTTCCTCCGATGCGTCGCACACGTCTGCTCGCCCACGGCCTGGCCCCGGCCCGCCTCCGCACATTCGGTCCTTGGTCGAAACCCCAACGTGCAGCTTGGACCAGCACCTGCAAGCAGTAGTCGGGGGCGGCCAAGAGGGGGGCGTCCAACAGGGGGGCGCAAATCATGGCCGGCGGCATGTGCGCGGATCAAGGGGGGGCCCAGGGCGCAATGAAATTCGCCGGCACAACGGGCCAGAGGCGTGCTAAAATCTCTGGTAACTGCTCAACAATATTTCTAGTTCCCGCGCGCGGGGCGGGCCCTGGGGGTCCCCGGACAGAAAATACCCCGGCAAGGTCCCGGCAGACTCCCGGCAAGGTCCCTGCAGACTCCCGGCAGACTCCCGGCAAGGTCCCTTTTCGGAGCCGAGGAGGGCTCCAAACGGTCCAAGAAAGGCCGGAGAAACCCTCCAGACGGTCCAAGAGAGCCGGGAGACGCCGAAATATCACTCCCAAGCGCCTGCGATGGCCTCAAGACGGCCCAACAAGCCTTCAAGACGCCCCAAGAAGTCCGTAAGCGGCGCCCCAAGAGGGTTCCCACAAGCAGAAATCGTCTCATTCCCGTAGGAAAACGTGCATGTTTAACATATCCGCCTCTTCGTCTTTCACACCTTTCAATGCGGCCCGAGAGGCCCCAAAAATCACCCCAAGACGGCCCGAGAGACCTTCAAGACCGCTCAAAGACGGCCCAAAAGCGTTCCAAAAAGGCCCAACAAACCCTCAATAACTCTTTTTCGGAGCTCAGGAGGGCTCCGAATCGGTCCAAGAGGGGCCCGAAAAGCCCTCCAGACGGTCCTAGAGAGCCGGGAGACGCCGACATATCACCCCCAAGCGCCTACGATGGCCTCAAGACGGCCCAACAGGCCTTCAAGACGCCACAAAAAGTCCCTAAGAGGCCCGTAGGCGGCGCCCCAAGAGGGTTCCCACTAGCATAAATCGTCCCATTCCCATTGGAAAATGCGCATTGTTAACATAGCCGCCGGTTCGTCTTTCACACCTTCAAAACGGCCCACGAGGCCCCCAAAATCACCCCAAGATGGCCCGAGAGACCATCTAGACCGCTCAAAGACGGCCCAAAAGCGCTCCAAAAAGGCCCAACAAACCCTCAAGAACTCACTTTCGGAGCCCAGGAGGGCTCCGAATCGGTCCAAGAGGGGCCCGAGAAACCCTCCAGACGGTCCAAGAGAGCCGGGAGACGCCGACATATCACCCCCAAGCGCCTACGATGGCCTCGAGACGGCCCAACAAGCCTTCAAGACGCCCCAAGAGGTCCCTAAGCGGCGCCCCAAGAGGGTTCCCGCAAGCAAGAATCGTCTCATTCCCTTGGGAAAACGTGCATTTTTTTACATACCCGCCTCTTCGTTTTTTTTCACACCTTTCAGGGCGGCCCGAGAGGCCCCCAAAATCACCCCATGACGGCCCGAGAGACCCTCAAGACCGCTCAAAGACGGCCCAAAACCGCTCCAAAAAGGCCAACTAAACCCTCAAAACGGTCCAAGAGGCCCCAAGACGGCCCCATGATTGAGGTCCGTAGGGGCAACCTGAACGGAAATTTTGAGCCCCCCGCCCAAACGCGCCCCCGAAAAGGCCCCTACGAGCCTCCAGGTAGCCCCACGAAGCCCCCAAGAGAGCCCCAAGAGGCCCCCGAGAGACCCCCAGGAAGCTCCCAGGAGGCCCCCAAAGAGGCCAGGCAGACCCCCCCCCCCCCAAGAGACCACCAAGAGGGCCCACCCAGAGCCATCCACGAGGCCTCCCAAAGTTCCCAAGAAGCCCCCACGAAGCTTCCAAGGGCCCCCAAGACCCCACGAGGCCTCCAAGAGCAACCGAAAAGCTTCCCAAAAGCCTCCAAGGGCTCCCAAGAGGGTCACAAGTACTCCTCCTGAGAAGCTCCTTGCTGCTCCCAGAGGAGACCCCCAGAAGCATCCATGAGCTCTCCGAGACGCCCCCTCCCCAGATCCCCAACACTCAGTTTTTCTCGCGTCCCTCACCCTTGGATCCTTCACTGCGTTTTCCTCGAATTCCGACTGGATGAGGATGACCTTGGGATGGTCCTGGAAATGTGTGGGGGGCTCTGGAGGTCAGCGTGAATTCTGAGAGGTTGTCGGTTGCGCGTCTTCTGTAAATACAACCAAAAATATGAATAATGGAAAGACCGCACATACATCACCGATCCCCAAACGGCCCACACGCGTATGCATTCGGCAACGTGTATGATGTGGGATGTCAAGCACGACTGGCCCCATCCTCCTCGAAGTGGTCGCCCTCGTCGACCTCCGCCTCCACCTCCTTCTATCCGCCCCTCCCTCCCTCATAGCCCTGCCCCACCTCCCTCTGCTCCATGTTCTCCTCTTCCTCCTCATATTTCCTCCCAAAGTGGGGTGGGGCGGACCCCGCGCGAACCCTCAGGACCCCCGACAACATACAGGAATCCCTGCAAATCTCCAAGGAGGAGGAGGAGGAGGAGGAGGAGGAGGAGGAGGAGGAGGAGCAGGAGGAGGAGGAGGAGGAGGAGCAGCAGCAGCAGCAACAAAACGGCCCACGAGACGCCCGAACGGCCCAAGAGAGCCCCAAGAGGGCCCCAAGAGGGACCCAAGAGATGGAACACGAGCCGACAATTCGAGACTTCCGCCCCAAGCAGCCCCCATGAGGCCCCAAGAGGCCTGCAAGAGACACCAAGAAGCCTAAACAGAAGCCCCACGCAGCCCCCCGACGGCCCCCAAGAGCCCTCAAAACTGCCTCCAAAGAAACCCTCGAAAAGGCCTGCCACGATATTTCAACGAACGTCCAAGAGGCCTCCGACCTACAACCCAGGCGCGGTGGCGGGATGGGCCGAAAACCGCTAGATCCGCCGCCCCCTGTGGTCTTGCCACAGGGGTGCACGGCGTGCTGGATGTTTCAGGTTTTGGTTTTGGTTTTTTTCTAAAAGAACTCCCCAATGGGCTTCGGCCCGTCCCGCCGGCCACCCGCAAGTTTCCGAAAATCCATCTGTCAATGCCTTTGTTGCCCCAACTTGGCCCAAGATGGCCTCCAAGACGGCCAAGATGGCCCAAGATGGCCTCCAAGATGCTTCCAAGACGGCCAAGATGGCCTCCAAAACGGGTAAGATGGCTCCAAGATGCACCCCAGACGGCCCAAGATGGCCTCAAGATGGTCTAAGATGGCCCAAAAGGCCAGCAAAAGGCCTCCAAGACGGCCCAAGAGCACTCCAAGACGCCCTCCAGGAAGGCCCGAATAGGTTAAAATCATTGATTTTCCTTAGGGTTTTGAAGGATTGTGGCATGTTCTTCTTTTCAACTCTCCGACGGCCCAAGACGGCCCAACAGGTCCCCAACATCGCCCCAACAGCACCCAAGAGGCCTCCAATATGGCCCCATGACGGCCCAAGAGGCCCCCAAAAAGGCCCCAAGAGGGCCTCAAGACGGCTCAAGAGGCCTCCAAGACGCCCAAGATGGCCTTCAAGACGGCCAAGATGGCCCAAGATGGCCTCCAAGATGCCTCCAAGACGGCCAAGATGGCCTCCAAGACGGGTGAGATGGCTCCAAGATGCACCCAAGACGGTCCAAGATGGCCTCAAGATGGTCTCAGACGGCCCAAAAGGCCGGCAAAAGGCCTCCAAGACGGCCCAAGAGCCCTCCAAGACGCCCTCCAGGAAGGCCCGAATTGGTTAAAATCATTGATTTCCCTTAGGTGTTTGAAGGATTGTGGCATGTTCTTCTTTTCAGCTCTCCGACGGCCCCAGACGGCCCAAGAGGTCCCCAACATCGCCCCAACAGCACCCAAGGAGGCCTCCAAGATGGCCCCATGACGGCCCAAGAGGCCCCCAAAAAGGCCCCAAGAGGGCCTCAAGACGGCCCACGAGGCCTCCAAGACGCCCAAGATGGCCTCCAAGACGGCCAAGATGGCCCAAGATGGCCTCCAAGATGCCTCCAAGACGGCCAAAATGGCCTCCAAGACGGGTAAGATGGCTGCAAGATGCACCCAAGACGGCCCAAGATGGCCTCAAGATGGTCTAAGACGGCCCAGAAGGCCCGCAAAAGGCCTCCAAGACGGCCCAAGAGCCCTCCAAGACGCCCTCCAGGAAGGCCCGAATAGGTTAACATCATGGATGTTCCTTAGGTTTTTGACGGATTTTGGGATGTTTTTCTTTTCAGCTTTCCGACGGCCCAAGACGGCCCAAGAGGTCCCCAACATCGCCCCAACAGCACCCAAGAGTCCTCCAATAT